TATCCCATCCCTTCAATAATTTGCCATTGCGTATAAATCACAAATTCTTCAATAGGCGCGTAATTTCTATTTATGTGGCGGTTGGGAAGTATATCGTTCAGTGAACTTAATTTGATTTAGCAAATACTTACCTTTTTTTCATACTTTTGTAAAGATGAAAAGCCAACATCGTCCGGAAAATACAAATTTATATCGTAAAGCACCCATCATTTATATAGGTTCTACATATTTCTATAAATATAAATTGACACACGACGTTCTTCTATTCCTAACTTGAGATTAAAAAATACGCATAAAATCATTAGGGTGAAATCTGACGAAATATGATATGGCACAAATGCAATTTGGTGCACTGTTCACAAAATAATATGTGGATCTATATCTAAATTTTAAACTATTTAAACAAAATTATGTCTATGCTATATCTCCTGTGGGAGCTATTTCTTAATTTGAAGCGATTTAAACAAAGCTTAACATACGTTATTCTAGTTTTAGTCTACGCCAAATTACCTGTCAATCGGACAGACAGTGTCTCTAATGCACAAATCATATAAAATCGGACTAACTATATCCTCAGAGTTATCTATGGGTGTATTTTATTTCTTTCTATACATAATACATTTTACCATACCAATATACCATCTACTAGAAAAATGTCAGAACCTTATGGCAATTCTTGAAAACCTACACAACAGGTCGTTTTGTTGTAAAATGGTTCAAATGGAAATCTATTTTCGTTAGTTCTTTCCTAAATGAATATACAATTTGTAATACTTTTTGGGCACTGGAACGATTTTTTACAAAAACTTAAAAAACAAATTTTTACATCCTAAACGGAGCTATTTACATATGTAGAGTAGAAACTATTGTTCAAACGATTCTACATTGTCAATACCTAACCACTTCTTAAGCCTGTCAGAAATTGTTGGTTACTTACGTAGAATGGTTATCCAGAACGTAGAATGGAAATGTTACACAAATGTATTTGTCCAATTTGCATTCAATGTACCACTGAGTCGTTTGAATATGAATTTTATTCGTCGGTTACACGAAAAAGAGCAGATACTGGGAAGTGCAAAAAATATATATACTGAAAGTGTAGGACAATGACCCCTTTAAGTGGAAGTTGGTATAACATCTTAATAGGGATATGTCAGGGCCGACAGCAATCGTTCCGTTTTTACAACTTAGTTATTTTAGTCAAAGTCAAAGAAAGCAAGTGTTGTATATGAAACAATAGTATATAACTTTGTTAAAATAATTAAAATTATTACAAGTTTGCTTTGTAATTGAAATTTTCAAAAGGAATTATTAATTAAAGTCGTAATAAAAATGGGGCTTCTGATGGCACCGCCATTGTATGACAATGACAAAAATTTATATTGACGATCTGAATCTATCTAGCTTTATTGTACTACCAAATATAATTTAAATCAGGTCCATACAAAATTTTTGCAATGATCATAATTATCATTAAATTAAATGTCCAATGACTTATTTCTGAAATATTGTTGTCATATTAGCTCTTTCATTATTTTAATTTGCAAAGTTGTATAAGAATTACAGAAAATGGAAGAAAATTCGTAAGTAATGCAAAGTTTCATTAAATTAGAAACTAATTCCTTATATATTTTTAAGCAAGTTCCAGATAGAGGGCAATGTATTGATGCAGGAAGCTTAAATGTTCCCGGGGAACATACCAGATCAATTTTTCTTTTATTATTCATTTTATTTTTAATATTAAATGTAATACAAATAATTGTGTTCGTACTTTGTTTGTTGTTTATTTTGGCGCAAATAAAATGTTTTCTTGAATCAGCTGTTTATTTGCTAAATCTTACTAAATTTTGTCTGTTTACTTTTCTCAGTATTATCACAAAAGAATAAAAAACGCTTACTCTCTGAACTAGAAATTACTGTATAAATGTTACTGGAAAAGTAAACCAGACGGTTACAGCGAACTAGTAGGGACTAAAATTAGTTCGTTATATTCAAGGTAAGTCAAAACCAAGGATTAGCAGAAAAAATATTAAGTTCTGCTTCTTTTTTCCTTTGATGGTCCAGAGATTTTTTGTGAAGTTTGCCAGCGTTAGCTATAAATTAATTTTTGAGGAGGTTTGTAATCGTCATATTTTGTATATTTATAGCAACTTCATTATAAAAATGGAACGCTATAAGAGTAAAGATTTGTATGAAAACTAGGTCTTAAAACTTCGGGACTAGGAAATGTGTTTGCTATAAAGAAAGTTCGTTATGACCGGTGTTCGTTATAAAAGTACTCGAATGTATTAACTTTATTCAAATTAATATCATTCAAATAGAAAAAATCTATTTTAATTTTTTAAATGTGATGAATGCCAAATATGGATTACAAGATGTTAGTGATAAAAGAAAACGATGCAATTATTTTTCTGGTCAAATGTCATAGGCTTAGACACACGTTTTATGAGCCTAGATAATATTATTAAAAATAAATATTTATGTGGCATTTAAAGATACTCCGTGTGTCCTGAAGAAATGCTATTATGTTCTATTTAAAAATGGATTTATTATTCTATACAAAGACCTGGATGACCGGTCTTTGCGTACGAGTTAATCATTTAAAATGTTTTGTATGCAAAAGGCAAAAGTTGATAGCAATATGGGCTCAATCAAGAAGAATCGACCCTAGTTTTGAGCTAGCGGGTTTAATAGTTTAACTGGTCACTGTTTAATTAAACAAACATTTTTAAAAATACTTCAGATAGTTTCGATTCGTCCTTTTTTGTGGCATCAGTCATTCCAATAAATAAGAATCCAAAAAAATAAAAATAAACTTGCCCAGACTCACGTACTTTAAAAAAGTGACCACTATTTTTTTCGAATACTGTGGTATACCGTTATATAGGGGCAACCCGAAAAATTGGTACGATATTGATCATTTTTGGGAGGGAGATTTACTATACGATGATAACCCAAAATAACAAGTTACAGCCAATTTTGAGCCAACATTGAGGGGGCATAGCCCGCCCATTTTTTCTTTAATCCATTTTTCTACCATTAGAATTCTACAATCAAAATATAGTAAAGCTAGCTTGTCGGGAAGTATTTTATGCCCCTAAAATCGCGATTCATTTTTGGGAGGGAGATTTCCTATACGATGATAACCCAAAATAACAAGTTACAGCCAATTTTGAGCCAACATTGAGGGGGCATAGCCCGCCCATTTTTTCTTTAATCCATTTTTCTACCATTAGAATTCTACAATCAAAATATAGTAAAGCTAGCTTGTCGGGAAGTATTTTATGCCCCTAAAATCGCGATTTCAGCCGTTGATCATCGGCTTTATTTGTACACAGTGGATATTTTAAAATCGCGTAATTATATAACGGAAAATGCGTTTGGATACTTTCTAATGACAAAACTGCTAAAGGATAAAGGAATTTATGTTTACATATGTGTAATAAAAACTAAAACCTATTCAGCCCGATTATGAATATTCGCAAGGAATTATCTCTAGGTAAACAATTTTCAAGAGAATAAAAAAACCGTTTATGAATAACTTGCAAATATTGTATCATTAACGTTTTTTTCTCTTCCAGAAGATTATTTTTGTTGTTCTTTTGTTACAAAACTATGGAATTAAATACAAAAGTAAACAAATAATTATTTTTTAATTATTTGAAAACATGATTTTACAAGATTATAAAGTCGGTATATTGTGTGATATACATTTTCCTCATCGTACCTTAATCGGTAGAATAATTTAAGGGCATCTGAAGTGCATCATTCGTTATAAGCTTTTGCACATAACGTGTTTACAATAATTTTTGGAAATAATATGTTTTTTAAGCCAACTCCCGTCAGTTTGTATTATTATTTTTAGAAAAAACACAAGTAAGTATATTCCTAATTTGTGCACAAATTTGACATGCCATCTCTAATATATTAACATCTAATTTTACAAATGAAAGTTTTACTAGGCTTTACAGGAGTCTTAAATTGTCTTTTTTACTTTAAAATATTTCCTTTTACTTCGACGAATAATTTTTTTTAACACATTTCCATGGTAGTTTTTTGTCCATTTTCTTACAACCGATTTTCGACCAATATTTTAAAATGAAACATAAACAAATTTCTTTTTTAAATACAAATTGGTTTTGTTTTTTTTTTTATTTACGAGAAATATTTCTATCTAAAGACCTTTTCTAAAGTTTAGAGAATATTTTTTTAAGGATATAACAATATCAAAAGGAGAATGGCAATTAATTTAATTTAAACTAATTGCTAAACAATAGTGGAAAATAGCATTTAATATTTATATATGTAGGACGACATTGAATTCAATACACGAAAAAATATGTAGTTACACCAAATACAATACAATTAAAGCGTGAAAGAGAAATATTATTACATACACAGAGTAATCAAAAACAAAACGGGATAATTAAATTATTTTACAAAATAATAATAATTCAGACAGTAGACAAAAAATATGGTTCTGAGGGAAAAAGTTATTCTTTAAATAAACTAAGACTTAATAACAAAACATTAAATTCATTTTAAGCGTGAAAGAAAAAAACAAACAAAAACAATTGTAACGTTTAAAATTGACAAAATTTCCAGCTTCATTTGCTAACATGAGGTGGTTTCTCGCGTATAATATTTTTTCTCTTTTTCGTGTGTCGTGTCCATTATTGAAATGGTTTTCAAAATTCATATGAGATCCCAAAAAAAAAGAGTTTCAATAAAAATTAAGGATATACACATATGTAACTAAACTATAAAAATAATAAAATTAATAATAATGTTTATATAATATTTAGTTTTTGCACTTGGTTTTTGTTGTTGTTGTTTTCAATTCGTTTCGAAGAGTTCTTGATGCTGAATGTTGTAGCTCTGGATCAGAATTTTCCTTGTTTTTGTTTAATTTTGTGTTGATGTAAAAAAAGAATGAAAAATGACAGTGTTGTTGTGGTATGTTCGGTGTGTTGTTGTTGTTACGGTTCATGTGGTTAATATACTATAATAGTTGTGGATGCCACTGATGTTGTTTTAATTGTTGTTCTTCGTGTTGTTCCTATTGCAATGTTGTAAAGCTAATACTAACTTTTACTTAAAGCTTTTTTCTTTCTTTGTACTAAAATATCATAGAACGGATTGTGACTAATGGATTGTGTTAGCCGTTTTATCCATTCCTGTTGATCTTCCTCTGTGGCAGCAGACATGCGATAAACGCTATGTTTGCCCTCAACAACCTGAAAAATAAGTCACATTAATCGTTGTTTTTTATGAAATATAATTTTATGGTCTGTGCTGACTTACCTTGCCTTCCGAATCAGTCTTACATGCTTTAATAATTTCTGCTCCACCAGTAGCAAAGAGTTCAAAGCAATTGGGTTTACTGCGATCATGAATTTCTCGAACCTGTAAACAAATCAATACATTTTATAGACAATGTTAAAAGCGGATCAAAACAACTCCCCATGCTCACGAATTGAATCAGCAAAACGGATGAAAGGATTTCTTATATGAAGCAGGTTTGAGGAAATAATATAAAAAAACAATTATATTTTTAAGAGGATGCATCATTTCCCACAACCTTTATTAAATACGCAACAATTTTGTTTAGCTAACATCAGGGACTAAAATGTGCAATCTATGTCAGCATTATGTTTTGGGTGAAAGAGGTGAAGGAATATGTTTCAGCACACAACATAGAGTGGAATTCAAACGCAACATAACGAATACATGGCATAGGACATTTATGGATTATTTTCAAATGGATTTGCTATTGCCGTCATAGGCCTTTTAGTTTTGCATAAAGCGAAAAATGGTCAATGGTATATTTAATAGTAAACAAGTTTTGTAAAATAGACAAAGAACAAATATAATATTTATTTATTTTATTTGAACATCGTAAATCGGTTTCATTAAAACTTGTTTACAAATCCATTGTAATTATAATAAATCAATAATTATTATATAACTAGTTTGTCCGGACCAACATTTTTTAGTTTCAAAAATTAGGAAAACTACAATAATATCATTAGTGAAATATGTGTCTTTATGGATCATTTTTGTGGTCATCAGTGCTGTTGTGTTAAGAAGTCTTTGATTTATTGACAACATTGTGAAAAATATTTCCGACCATTAATAACTTAATATGTCAAATCACAAGCAAAATGATTCTGACATCTGACCAGAATTTTCGTAATCTGGCCATAGGGTTATAATAGAACAAAAATACAATGAAGGGAATAATATCTGAATTTGGAATTCAAAAAACTTGCATGCATAGCATACCATTACTTGCCGATAAAAATATACACTTTTAGAGTCTGGATATAATATTCCGAGCACACAACAAAATTATGCTTTATTATGTTATAAGGAAAGTTTAACGACGATCATAGATTTTGTTTTAATTTTATAATGCGAACGACAAGGACCTTAATATCAAACTATCGGGAGATGTTGCAAGGTTAACATGATTTTCTTAATTGAAAATATGGATATTTAGACGACTACAATTATTGGAATTATTGGAAGCAATAGAAAGAGCGGAAAACCATAACACCAAAAAAAAAATTACTAAAACACTTTTTGTGTCTACTTTTATTACATTTCGCTCAAACACACACACGTCGACAAAATAATTTCTTATACTTACACATATATTTTCCAATGGTATTATCCCTCTGGGCTCTTTATCTGTTGTATATTCAAAATAATATAAACAATTGTCGTTCAATATAAACCAACGTCTCTTCCATGATTTGTATCTGGAGAACATACTAAAAAGGTTAATATCATTCCAAATACTACATTGCAAATAATTCGAAATCGCTTACCTGCCACCTTGTTTCCATAGCCAACCCTCCTTATCGGGATTGAAGAAGGTATGCATTAAATCATTACCATCATCCTGGGGTATTTTGAAGGGTTCCGTTCGTATCGATTCGTAGAGAGATTCAAGCAGGGTACGTGGCAAATCACCGCCGTTGTTAATACCGCGATTCATTGAAATGAATTGTTCAACAGTGGGTTTGTCTTTGACCTAAGTGAATAGAATGGAATTAAAATTGAAGTTATTGACTATTTTTTTAGATTTGATTATTTATAATCAAATCCTGATAGAGTTGCTCAAACTGTCATATTTTTCGTTATTATTTTTAGACATAATAATTTTTAAAAATTTGTAAACTCAAATAATTAATGCACTGCAACATGTTTCGAGTTGGTTTTATAAATTTGGAGCTTAATATGAACAATTTTAACAGGCATCTATTAAGAAATAGGTCGAAAATATACAAAATATACCCAATGGTTGTTCGATATAAAGGTGATAATAACGGTAAGGTTACTACGTATTCAGTGCGGTTTTATGTACGAATAGGTATATATGAGTTTTTTTATTTTGAAGGTGGTTTATGTCCATTTAAGGTTCTGATACATATCTTGGTTTTCTAGTAAAGTTTACAAAACATATTACGTTATATCATGTTTAAGGACACAAAGCCAAAAACAAAATTAATAAAACTTAACAATATTTTTGAAATTTTTTGAAACAAAAACTAATATCTCATTATAAGAAAACAATGGACTTAAAACCACTTTCACAATAAACGAATCGTATATTTTTAACCAAGGTAAGATTAGATGTACCTAGTACGTGAGAATAAGGCATTTATTGGTCAACGATTTTCATCGCCAGAAGATGCTGTCGAAGAATTCAAACCCCGTGTGTTGGAGGATCTTCAAAAAAAGTTTCGTTCATCTACAATTGGACACAAAATTTATCCTCTTATTAGTTCCCTGTACATCATGAAAGATCTCTTTAAAAATACATTTTCAAATACAAAAATTACATATAAATTAAAGAGTGTGTGCCTAGGCATGGTTTAGCCCTGATGATGCAGCAAATAATAGAATACTAAACATATATCTTTTGATATAAATATACAATGGTGGCGATAAAAATAAACTATTTTGGCACACGTTGATTTGTGTACAAAGCACACACACCGCTACAAAGGCCTTATACTAATGACAACAGGAGAATGCGAACTGGATGGGAATATTCTAAAAGTAGCCGGGTAACAATATCAACTGAGTGGCTAAAAAATGGCAAAATTATGCATACAACAAATGTTGATATACGACGAAAAACTCTTCGCTTCCCCTTTCCATAGTCGTTTTGCCACAACATTTACATTATAAGGGACCATTGTGTATAGAAAATGTAAATAAAGCTTCCCTCCTCTCTAACAAAATTAAGGAGATAACATTATTAGGAAGGAATGGGAGGTGGTGGGGGGTGGAATAATATTACATACCGATGGATTGTGTAACGATGTATTTAACATGATGATGGCAAAACTTAAAACATAACAGGTATCGGTATTCGTGAATATATCAGGGTTAAGTTGACAATAACGCTGGGCAAAGCATTCCATCATGCGATCAATTTTTTGCGCCTCACCGGGCAGCCGAAAGGACCATAAAAATTGTCTGCAAAGCGTTAATGAGAAAAAAAGAAAGAGAAAAACATAAATGAGTTTTTTATTGTTGGCAAATGCAAAAATATAGAGATAATGCTTACCTTAAAGCTTGAACCAATATTAAATTTGTAAAGTCATGCAATGCCACGAAAGCCTTTAAAACTTCCTTGTTAAAGTCATTATTTTCACCCAAATAATCACCTGAAATGAGGAAATAAAAAAAATGGAATTAGGGAATTTTATTTAGAATCGATTTGTAGTTATTTAAATATAAATAAGATAAGATTGATCTGCTTGGTTGACCAAATTGACAAATTAAACGTTAAAAAGGCCTTAAGAATACTTTTGCTAAGAATTTAAAATAAAAATGCAATGTATTTATTGGAATTTTCTATACAACAAAAATATTTCAATGTTAAGGTCAATAAACTGTTTTGGAGATGATGCCAACCAACAAACATTTGTATTTTCTGTTCTCTTCCGTTGCATGGCCGGGCGGGACCTTGGTGGTTCTGTACTATTTCAAAGGTTTGTAATTGTTTACCTTTTATTTGAGGTTATATCGAATAATTTCAATTTATATTGAGTGATTGTTTTCTTTTGTTTTCAATTTTGTTTGTATGCACGTACATACATACATATGTGCCATGCTATGTAAATTCTATTTGATAAAATTTGTTTATATTGCTTCTCTCGTTGTGGCCTTGTATCGCTTAATTTGTTTATTTGATTTGCAAAGAATGCTTCTATTGTTTTTAAACGAAACCAAAAAAAAAGAAAACAATTTGGTTTTTTTCTTTCTTGATTTCTTTGTCATTGTAATTGAATGCATCATCGTCAGCTTAGGGTGTTAATAGTTTTAGAATGATGTCGTTAATAAACTGTGAAATGAATATCCACAGAAACCAACGAATAGGTGTGTATGATATAATATTGTTTATATTCGTGTATGGGGAATACATACCTATTGCCGTTTTATTGAGACCTTCACCCTTGTAAAGGAAATGTGCAACATCTTGTGGATCGTGTCGTAATAACCGATGTTCAACCAAGTGTTCGATACCTAAAAGAAAACAAAACAGAAACATAAATGAATTGAAAAAATAAAAGGGAAGTAATAATAATTATAGATAACAATGTGTGTAATGGGTATTTTGACTCCGAATATAAGTTTGAAAATCAGAAAAAAGTATAAATTGGTAAAAAAATAATCTTCCTGTATTGTTGTTAACGGCGCCATTAAAATTTTTTGTTCCACTGTGTGGTTTGTGGTTTAATTAGCATTGCTCATTTAAAATTAGTATGTGAAAGTAGTCTATATAAGATTCAGAGAAAGAGAGTATACGTGTGAGTGTATTAAACCTGTCGTATTATCATTTGCATAACCAAGATGAGTCAGACATCAAGATTTTGAATGAACTTCAAATTCTCTGAATGAAATACACACAGACAGACAGCAACAACAAAACAAACAATTTCCAGTTCAATGAAATACAAAATCAATGAATTTAAATTTAAACAATATAGAATTGTGGTATCAAGTATCTAAAATTAAATACTAACAACAACTGCTGGCATTATGTATGACAATAAATATATTCAAGTTCATATTATATCGTCGTATTATTGCATAAAACGATAAATTTACGTTTGCCAAAATGTAATTGATTATCAGGAAGTTAATATGAAATAAATGACTTTATCGTAAGTTTGTTATTTATAGCACATATATTTGCAGACTACTATATAAATTTAGAATGATTTAATGTTAATTTTGTATTCAATATAGTTTCACTTCCATGTGGGTGAGTGCGTGGCAAGCAGCAACCACAACAGGAAGAATTAATATAGAATTTCCAATAAGAAATTTTAGCAGAAAGTCATTTTTAACGAGGGAAGATCAAAAATTCAAAATACTTGATCTGTTTATAGACTATTGTCAAATTTTGTACAGAGGAACGACTTTAAGGTAATATATCCCACAATACAACGCATTTGGTTGGACAATATATTTAATAGTTATTTGAATTCTATGTCATATTGAGGAACTTTTATATAAAAAAAAATAATTTAGGATACACTTAGTGTAGAATCAGGTACTATTAGTTCTAAAGAATCGGATTTTTAACTCGATATGCTCAGCGACCTAATATAGAGTTAACGTATATCCTTATTTGGACTCAATAGTCCCGAGGTAAAATTTGCACTCAGTCCTTAAGGAACATTTTTTATTAAATTTAGCATTTGTTAGAATTGTGACAGTTCGTGTGGATGGAACCAGAGATGATAGTCCCATATAACCGATAATTGCACTATATCTATGGTTAGTATATTAAGGATGACATGTTTAGGCCACATGCTATTTACAATTCGCTTTAAATAAGGTATATGTTTTTATGTTTCTGTGGGAAGTACAAAAAAATCATTCGTTTTAAACGAAATTTACACATTTTCAATATTTTCACCCTTTGTGGGGGAAGAGTGGACTTATATATTTAATGTATAAAGATGGGAAACATAAATTCATACATTATATATGTTTGGTAAAATATCAGGTTGTGCAAAGTTTGGTTTAAATCGGATTAAAAAAATCTGTCTTATTGTGGGCGAAGTTCCAGAAGGACCGAACCGATATTCCCCTTCAATTTTAATTTATGTTTGGAAGAAATATTACGATGTGTTAAGTTTGGAAGAAATCAATTACTTTCTTACTTTGCGCACTACCCAGACTGACGGACGGACATTTGTAAATCGTCTTCAAATTGTATGAAACGGATTTGGTCCAAAGAAACCTCCTCGAAGGATGTTAAAATCGGGAATTGGTGATCATTCGTCATTTGAATGACAATTTTTAAATAAAAATTCAAAATTTTCATAGTAAAGATCTATTTAAACCTACGATCAATAACCGGGTACATTTGCACCCATTCAAACATTGTGCTATAATTTATTTAAAATTTGGACGATCATGCAGATTTTTTTCTAAATCGACTTATACTGATCTGAGGTAGATGTAAACTTCTTGTTTATACGATAATCTGCAGCATTTTTAATCAAAAATGTACGCGGTTATTGATCGTAGGGTTGAATTTACCAGCTTCGATCCATAAATAACTGAAATTGTGGGTATTTTATATTATTTATATGAAATTATTACTTTCAAAAATATATTTGAAACGTTTTACCGGTTTTTGAGTACAGAAACACCAATTTATATATAAATATATATTTTTTCAATGACTTAATTGTTATTATTCCTCCCAAGTCCCGCAATAATATTGTAAATTACCGATAACAAAAATTCACCGAATTTCAGCAAAATCATTTAATTATCAACTGTTTACCTTATCAATTTTTTTTAAACAGTAATAATAAGAAATATGTGTGTTTGTTTGTACGTTAGTTATATATCAACGTCATTGTCAAAGCAAATGAGTAAACAAAAAAAAAAAAAAGAAAACGTCATCAGACCTAGCCATCCATATTTGTGTGCATACGTTAAACCCTTGATAATACAGACGGTAATAAAGTGTATTTTTAACAACGTCATACTTTCAATATGACAAACCCATCCGTATGACAATGAAAGGTAGGCGGCAGTCATACTGACTGTCATCCTACCAACCAGACATGCAAAAAGGACACAAATATTTTGCGGATAAAATGGGCGGGGGGATACACGGTAAAACTCCATAGAACCCAATTGGCAATGAACATTCAGTGGTAATGTCAATATTTTATGGGACTTTTTGGTCTTGGTTCGGTCGGTTGTGGTTTTATGTTTACACATTTAATTCATGGCTGGTGAATATAGAAGAATTTAAAGAAGAATGAAATCTAAAAGAAAAATTCGAAAGAAATATTTGGTTGTCTTATATGTTGATGCTGATTGTATTGATTGGTTACTTTTTGGGTGTTATTTTTATTGTCGTCATTTCATTACACCAGGAGTTTTCGGTTTAAGGTAATACATGAAATTGATTGGCGATATTTTTTATATTGAATATTTTAATAATGAATTTGTATGTTTAATTATTTACAAGTAATATCAATAATGTTTGCACAAAACAAAATATTATGCTAAAATATTGAAACATTTTCTCATATCTAAAAATTAAAAAAATAAGGGATCTACAACCATGGATTTATGAAAATCCTAATATAGAAAAATACACCATCTTTAAATAATGTTTACATTTCAAAATTCTAAACAAAAAATGACATATTTTCAAAATTTGTTTAAAAAAACCCACAAAAATGCCTTAACGATTGGCTCATGTATGTGTGTGCATTTTTGTGTTATCTGCTTGGGACATGTATTTGAAATTTGTATCGTTAACACATCGATATTATCATTATCGTCTTTTGAGATACACATGTTTAGAAAACGACATGCGGCCAATTGTCTCATGTTATTTTTCTAGAAAGGAATGTTTATATTTCTATCCTTGAGAGATATTATCAGATTCAGACACACAAACACATGTTTTGGCAGACAATTGTGGGATGGATAAACGAGGATCATTACAAAACAGATGACATCGTTAAGGAATTATCTTTTAAAATAAAATTATATGTATGTAGCAAAACGTTGTGTAATGTTACGATTATGAAGTAATAAAGAGAAATAAATTAAATAATAATAAATACAATAGAAAATAATTGTTAGACGCCTGATGCATACGAATGCCATCCTTAAAAATTGTCAAAATTTTGTAAATTTATGAACATTTTATTATCCTGGATAATTCTATGTTCGCTCATTAAAAAATCAGGGACTGAAAAACCACACCTTTCTGCGTACATTTTCGTTTATGTTCGAAAAAATCAAGTAGTATTGAATTAAAATGTGTATGTTGTATCCAAATGAAATAGTACTTGTTGTCCGATAATTGTTTCAGCTTTCAATTTCGAAAATTAAACTCCACACCATAATTTATAGGTCAAACTTTTCTTTTAATTTGTTATCCAATGGATAACATCGTTTTGTCGTTCGCTATTGGTTTCGTGATGAATGGCATTGTTGTCGTTACTTTTATGTTCTCATATTCGTTACGGTTTTATTTCCGCTCGTTTGACACTCTCAGACACACAAATTATTGGACTCACACTAACGGTTGTTGTTGTTGTTGCTGGAGAAGCTCCATTGATAAATTGTTGCAGGAAACTGTTGACAGACCCATAGCTCCAATGCCTATTTATCCCATACAAAAAAATAAAAAATCAACAACATTGTTGATATCCCATTGTTATTTAAACCATTTGATGTGGAGTGTAGGCAGGCATTTGCCTTTTTTTTTGCATCCCATCCCATTCCATTCCTGAACAAAAAGTTTTGTGGTCAAATTAAAATTTCAATTGGAATTGTTTTGGGGCGTGTGTATTTAGTTGAATAAATGGCAATTTTTTGTTGAAATTCTTTAGACATTAACTAAAGTTTTGAATTTTCTAAATTGTTGATTTCCATTATTAAAAAATAAAACATAGATCAACGAACGAAGAGATGTAAATTAGAAACATTCAATTGGTACAATTTAGAAGTCAAATCGAATCGTTCTAAAAGTTAGTAGTTCCTTCGTATAACGGCCAATTTTTTTCAATTAAAACTAAAAATTTAATTTTAGTTTATTGTGGTTTACAATTTTGTTATTTTTCCTCGTTTTAATGTCGTTATTTAAATTTCCACTCTCACTTCAGATATTTTACCTTTATTAATACCGACCCACCTTAATACATTTTTCGGAAATGTGGTATGTTTTGTTATGGTCCATTTAAGATTTATAGGTTTCAAGAAATGTAATTGAATGCGGTAGCTATTTCGGCAATATCCGCATAATTTATGTCGGTTTGGATATTTTGTTGGTTTGTCCATTTTTACAACGAATTTCATACAAAAATGTGTTTGAATGCTGAAAACATCCATCGTTATTTTATTTGGAAACAGTCTGTGTACACCATTCATTGTTTAACATTTTGGAGACAGTCATATAGTGTTTAAACAAATGAGTTTCTCCATTTGATTCGAATGAGAAAAAAATGCGTTTTTCATAATTAAAAACTTAT